ATATATATATATATATATATATATATTATATATAATATATATATATATATGTATATATATATATATATATATATATATATATATATATATATATAGTATATATGTACATACATACATAAACTCCTACTTGTACACAATAATATATATATGTATATATATATATATATATATATATATATATATATATATATATATATATATATATATATATATATATATATATATATATATCATACATACATAAACTCCTACTTGTGCACAATAATATATATATATATATATATATATATATATATATATATATATATATATAATATATGTGTGTTGTGTGTGTGTGTGTGTGTGTGTGTGTGTTGTGTGTGTGTGTGTGTGTCTTTTTATTTTTTATTTTTTATTTTTATCACGATTTCTCCAACTATTCCCTTACCATCTCCCTCCTTCCCCTCTCCTCTCTCTTCCCTTCCCACGCACGCACGTGAAAAGGATGTGGTTTTGCCCTCTACTCCCTCTTTCACTCCCTCTCCCTCCTTCCCTACCCTCCATCCCTCTCTCCCTCCTTCCCTACCCTCCCTCCCTCCTTCCTTACCCCCCCCCCCCCGTCATCTCCGCTACTACAATCGATACATCTCGAGCTGCGTGCATGAAAAAGAAAAAATGAATAGATTAAAAAAGATAAAACGTTAGGAAGATGTCTCGCCGTGATACAAATTCGAAGTTCAAATGGGGTCAACCGCCGCCGGGGTCATGGACGAGACTAATTCCCCCTTTGCGCCCAAAAAAGGTCAGATAATGGAGCCGGAGTGCGGGCGAAACGCGGCGTGTGTGTTTGTGAGTTTGTGTGTTTGTTGTTTGTGTGAGTGTTTGTGCGTGTGTGTGTGTGTGTGTGTGCGTGTTTTTGTGTTTGTGTGTGTGTGTGTGTGTGTTTGCGTGTGTGTGTGTGTGTGGTGTTTGTGCGTGCGTTTTTGTGTGTGTGTGTGTTTGCGTGTGTGTGTGTATGTGTGTGTGTGTGTGTGTGTGTGTGTGTGTGTGTGTGTGTGTGTGTGTGTGTGTGTGTGTGTGTGGGTGTATGTGTGTGCGTGTGTGTGTGTCTGTCTGTCTGTCTCGTGTGTGCGCGCGCGTGAGAGTGAGTATATCCAAGGTCCATATAAGTACTTCTATAGACCTTGACTGCGTGTGCATGCGTGTGAGTGTGTGTACATCTTCGTGTGTATCTCCGTGAGTGGGCGCCCAAGGAAAGAAAAAAAGTCCGGATAATGGCGTAGAGAGCGTGCAAAAAGTCAGATGATGCGCTTAACACACGACGCAAAGCCGGGAAAGGGAGAGAAAAAAAAGTTGAGCTTGTGGCGTCGCGGCTTAATGAGCGGAGCGTGCTTGCAAAAACGGCGCTCGGAGACTCAACTGGTGGCCATGCGCGATCCGGGGATATCGTGCAGAAGGGGGAGAGAGACACCCCCCCCCCCCACCCGTTCCCAGATAAGAAGCGTACCTCCTGAGGTCAAGGGACACGCTCGCCGATAATGGAGAAGGCGTGTGTGAGCTTCGGCAATAAGGGGTGAGCCGAGGTACGGAGACATACACACGCAACACACATACCACACGCACACACACGCACACACACACACGCACACACACACACGCACACACACACACACACACACACACACACACACACACACACACACACACACACACACACACACACACACACACACACACACACACACACACACACACACACACACACACACACACACACACACACACACACACACACACACACACACACATTTCCTCTCTTCTTTCTCTCTCTCTTTTTCTGTGACAGGTGGGATAGGAGTAGGAATAAGAGGGAAAAAAGTGTAACAGGGAGCCAGTTGATAGAGAGGGTAAGTTGGAAGACAAAGAAGGGATAAGGATAAGTGGAGCAAGGGATAGGGATAAGTTGAGTTGAAAAACATTGGAAGGATACGAATAAGTGGAGCAAGTGATAGAAGCGACAGGATAAGTGGAGCAAGGGATAGAAGGGATAAGGATAAGTGGAGCAAGGGATAGAAGGAATAGGTATAAAGTGGAGCAAGGGATAGAAGGAATAGGGATAAGTGATCAAGACTGAAGGGACAGGATAAGTAGAGCAAGGGATAGAAGGAACAGGATAAGTGGAGCAAGGGATAGAAGGGACAGGATAAGTGGAACAAGGGATAGAAGGGACAGGATAAGTGGAACAAGGGATAGAAGGGACAGGATAAGTGGAGCAAGGAATAGAAGGGACAGGATAAGTGAAAGGGAAGGGACAGGAATAAGTGGACAAGGGATAGAAGGGACAGGATAAGTGGAGCAAGGAATAGAAGGGACAGGATAAGTGGAACAAGGGATAGAAGGGACAGGGATAAGTGGAGCAAGGGATAGAAAGGGCAGGATAAGTGAAGATTAAGAGACTGAAGGAACAGGATAAGTGGAGCAAGGGATAGAAGGGGCAGGATGATGGGAACAAGGGATAGAAGGGATAGGGATAAGTGGCAGGGAGAGAAAAGGGATAAGTGGAGATCAAGAGACTGAAGGACAGGATAAGTGGAGCAAGGAAGAGAAGGGGCAGGATGATGGGAACAAGGGATAGAAGGGAGAGGGATAAGTGGAGCAAGGGATAGAAGGGACAGGATAAGTGGAGCAAGGGATAGAAGGGACAGGGATAAGTGGAGATCAAGAGACTGAAGGGACAGGATAAGTGGAGCAAGGAATAGAAGGGACAGGATAAGTGGAGCAAGGGATAGAAGGGACAGGATAAGTGGAGATCAAGAGACTGAAGGGACAGGATAAGTGGAACAAGGATAGAAGGGACAGGATAAGTGGAACAAGGGATAGAAGGGAGAGGGATAAGTGGAGTACAAGGGAGATAAGTGGAACAAGGGATAGAAGGGACAGGATAAGTGGAGCAAGGGATAGAAGGGACAGGATAAGTGGAGCAAAGAATAGAAGGGACAGGATAAGTGGAACAAGGGATAGAAGGGACAAGGATAAGTGGAGCAAGGGATAGAAGGGGCAGATGATGGAACAAGGGATAGAAGGGATAGGGATAAGTGGAGCAAGGGATAGATGGGATAGGGCAGATATCGGTCCCACATCGGGCCCTGGATACTGCGCACTTCGTCACCCGCGCTACTTGGCTGGGCAGCAACTGATAAGCGGCGGGTCTTATCATTCATTCATCGCCCTTATCAATAGTCTTATGTCAAGGAGAGAGGGAGGGGGAGGGGGGGAGAGGGAGAGGGAGAGGGAGGGGAGGGGGAGGGGGAGGGGGGGGAGGGAGGAAGGAGAGATAGGGAAGACAGACAGACAGAGACAAAGACAGAGACAGACAGAGAGAGAGCGAGAGAGACAGAAACAGAGAAAAAGAAAGAGAGAGAGAGAGAGAGAGAGAGAGAGAGAGAGAGAGAGAGAGAAGAGAGAGAGAGAGAGAGAGAGAGAGAGAGAAGAGAGAGAGAGAGAGAGAGAGAGAGAGAGAGAGAGAGAGAGAGAGAGAGAGACAGAGAGAGAGATTCTCGGTGTACTGGGAGTGGGACTGGGCTTACCGGGGTCGACACCGGGGTAATTGAGGCGGGGTCGAAAGCCAGGTTGCGGTGAAGAACTGACTTGGAGGCAATGGGCATCCATATAGGCCTATGTATGCGCATATGTTGGATATATGTAGGCACAGTCGATAATCATCGTGATTGTTGTCTTTATTGTTTTTGTCACTATCATCATCTTCATCATCATCTCCATCATCATCATCTTCATCATCTCCAAAATCTTCATCATCATCATCATCATCATCATCGTTTTTTCCCACTTCCTATTCCTCCTCCTCTTCCTTCTCTTCCTCCTCTTCTTCCTCTTCTTGATCATCATCGTTGTTATTGGAATATTGTTATTTGATTGGTGTTATTATTGCTGTTATGTTTGTTATTATTTTTTCATCATAATTTATTATTTTTCTTTTATTATCATTATTATTAATCATTATTATTATTATTATTATTATTATTATTATTATTATTATTATTATTATTATTATTATTATTATTATTATTATTTTATTATTATTATTATCTATTATTATTATTATTATTATTATTATTATTATTATTATTATTATTATTATTATTATTATTATTATTATTATTATTATTATTATTATTATTATTATTATTATTATTATTATTATTATTGTTGTTGTTGTTGTTGTTGTTGTTTGTTGCTGTTGTTATTACTTTTATGATTATTGTTATCATTATTGTTATCATTATCATTATCATTAGTATATTACAATTAGGCCTACTTAAACTGTTGATTGTCGATAATGTTTTTTTTATTGCAATGTTACTGAATGGCCTTGCATATAATTAGTTAGGATTTTCCTATTTGGTAATGATTGCATAATGATTTCCGTGTGTGTGTTGTTTGTCCCTTGTGATTGTGCAGTTTATATTAGGAATGATATCGGATGGATGTTGGATGTGTTTATGTGGACAAACATTACTTATTTGTTTATTTACTTTTGTTATTAGCATTATTATTATTTTTTGTTATTGTTATCATCGTCCTCATCATTATTATTAGTTATTATTATAATGATAATATTGATTATTATCATCATCATAATCACCCACCATCACCAGACCATCACCATCACCACGACCACCACCACCACCACCACCACCATCACCACCACCACCACCACCACCACCACCACCACCAACGCCATCACCACGCATCACCACCACCATCACCACCACCACCACCACCATCACCACCACCCACCACCACCATACCACCACCAATCACCACCACACCACACCATCACCATCACCACCCACCATCACCACCACCACCACATCATCACCACCGTCACCACCACCACCATCTCCACCACCACCACCACCACTATCACCACCATCATCATCGTTATATTTTTATTCTCATCATATGTCCAAAAGCCTAATATATCTCTCGTCTCTTTCCAGGTAAACATTCCTTTGCGAGGGAGAGTTCATGCAAGGAAACGTGTGAGAAAGGTAACTCATAACTCATCTCTGTACATTGTACTGTAAAGGTATTTAAGAAGAAAAGTGAGGAAAATATAGTTAAAATATAAAGAGTGGTTATGTGAGAGCGTGTCAGTTAGGGAGAGAGGGAGAGAGAATGGGGGGATAAGGGAACAAGTGAGTGAGTGAATGGATGAGTGAGTAAGGAGTGAGTGGGTGAGGGAATGGGTGAGTGAGTAAGGAGTGAGTGGGCGAGTGAATGGGTGAGTGAGGGAAAGGGAAGAAAGGAATGAGTGAGTAAGCGAGTGAGGGGGTGAGTGAGAACGAATGGGTGAGTGAATAAGAGAGTGAGTTAAAGGGAAGATGGTAGAGAGGAGTGAGTGGACAAGTAAGTAAAGGAGTGAGTAAGAGAGTAAGGGAGTGAGTGAGGGAGAGAGTAAAAAGGTTAGGGAGTAAGAGAGTTAGGGAGTAAGGGAGTGAGTGAGGGAGAGAGTAAAAAGAGAGTAAGAGGTAGTAAGGAGTGAGTGAGAGAGAGTTTAGGGAGTAAGGGAGTGAGTGAGGAAGAGAGTTAGGGAGATAGAGAAAGAGAGACAAACCGAAAGTGAGAAAAAAAAAGAAAAACGCATGTGAAACACGGCGACCAAATTACGGGATAAAGAAGCAGGCGAGCTTCAGCCTTGTCCCCACAAAGGCCAGATTCAAGCCTGGCAGCTGAATGGACTTATCGTAGCAGTTATTTCGTCCCGGAAGTGGATAATGGGACCAATAAAGAAAAAAAAAAGTCGGGGGGCGGAACTAAAAGGCGAATTTGATGGCACTGATTGCATTTTGCGGGCGGTGGCTGGTGGTGGGGTTATGGGGGTGGTGGTGGTGGAAGGGGGAGGTGGAGGTGGAAGAATGGGTGGTGGAGAGAGAATGGGAGGTAGATGTGGAAGAAGGGGGGGGGATGGGAGATGGATGTGGAAGAAGGGGGGGGGGATGGAAGGTGGAGGGGAAGGACCGAGTATGGGAGGTGGAGGTTGAAGGATAGGGAAGGGAAGAGACCGGGAGATGGAGGTGGAAGGAAAGGGAAGGGGGAGAACACGGTGTATGTGTAGAAGGGGAGGGAAGGGAAGAGAGCGGGAGGTGGAGAGGAAGGATAGGGAAGGGGGGAGAACGGGAAGTGGAGCGGAAGGAGAGGGAAGGGGGGAGAACGAGAGGTCGAGGTGGTAGGAGAGGGAAGGAGAGAGACGGGAGAGAGGAGGAGGAAAGACGAAGGAAGGGGAAAGAAAGTGAAGTGGAGATGAAAGGGGAGGAAGGTAAGAGTGGGCAGGAGTAGGAGTGGAAGAAAGATCAGGAGGAGGAATAGAGAAGTTGAGAAAATGTGAAAGATATAAAGAAAGGAGAGAAAAGCATAGCAGGAGTGGAAGATCAGGAGGAGGAATAGGGAATTTGAGAAAGGCGTGATGATTTGAGAAACGTGAAGATGACAAGGAAACGAGAGAAAATATGCAAATGTAATAACACGGAAAAAATGGACGAAACTCAAATTGAATATGTATGTACACAACTATAAATAAATAGATATCGACAGATAAGTGTATAGATAGTCAGATTGATAGACTGGTGTAGATATAGATATAGATATGAGGATAAGAAAAAAAAATTATCCCATGGGAAGACGCCTTGAGTGACACAAGGAAAGGGAAAAGGAAAAGGGATAAGGAGGAAGAGGGGGTGGGGGTAGGGGGGTGGGGGGTAGCGAATCCGTGAGGAAAGCTCGATCGACACGTGAAGAAGCGAGTGAGGGGGGAGGAAGGGAGGGAGGGAGAGAAGGATGAAGGAAGGGGAGAAAGAAAAGAAGGAAGGAAGGAAGGGAGGGAAAGGAGGCAGGGAGGGAGAGAAAGGTGGAAGGGAGGGAGGAAAGGAAGAAAGAAAAGAGGAATGGAAAGAAGGGAGGGAGGGAGGGAAGGAAAGAAGGAGGGAAAGAGGAGGGAAGGGGAGGGAAGAAGGAGGGAGGGAAGGGGAGGGAAAGAAGGGGAAGGGAGGGGCAACCCGAGGAAAGACGAGCAGAGAGGAATGTGGACAGCTCGGACACGTGAGTTCGCGTGCGTGAAGACCAAAACGTAAACAAGGATTCGCAGACGAACAGCCAGCTTGGAGAACAGCTGACACGGGAGGTGGGGGCCGAGGGGGGAGGTAGAGGGGTAGAAGGATGAGATTGTGGAAGGGTGTGGAGAGGATGGAGGCGTGTGGAGAGGGTGGAAGGGTGTGGTGTGTAGGTGTGGAGAGGGTGGAAGGGTGTGGTGTGTAGGAGAGGATGGAAGGGTATGTAAAGCGTGTGTGGAAGAGGGTGGAAGGGTGTGGAGTGGGTGGAAGGGGAGAGAGGGTGGAAGATGGAAGGGTGTGGAGGGTGTGGTGCAAGGGTGTGGAGTGGGTGGAAGGATATGGAGAGTGGGTGGAGAGGGTGGAAGGTGTGGAAGGGTGGAGGTTGTGGACAGGGTGGAAAGACGTGGAGAGTGGAGATATGCGAGTGAGAAGTCGGGAAAAAAAAATTGGGTTGGATGAGGGAAAGTGTCGAGTGGGGATACGGTAGGGGAGCGGGGAGAAATGGGGAGACGGAGAAGAACTGAGGGAGTCTGGGGAGAGGGAGTGGGGGGAAATAGGGAGGAATGGAGCTTAGGGGGAGATCCGTCCTCTTATGCTGCGCTGCCACGACCCATTTCGTCTCCTCACGTCTTGCTTCTTCGGATGCTGCGCAGTTGAGGAGGAGGCTGAGAGGGCGAGCAAATGGCCAGACGGCGGGAGATAAAAATCGGGGGCGAAGAGGGGAGGAAATGGAGGATGCGGGAAGGGGGGAGGGAAAGGGGTAGGGGGGAGGGGAAGAGGATGAGGTAGGGAGTGGGAAGGAAGGAAGGATGGGAGGAGAGGGAGGGGGAGGGAGAGGGGGGAGGGGAGGAGAAGAGAAGAGAGGAGAAGAGGGGAGGGAGGGGAGGGAAGGGAGGAGAAGAGAGGAGAGAAGAGGGGAGGGGAGGGGAGGCAAAGTGAAAGAGGGGAAAGGAAGAGACAGGGATTTGGGGAAGAGGGAGATAAGGGGAAATAAGGTATAGGAAAGGGCAAAAGGGGAGGGGATTAAATAGATTCAGGGGAAGGGGAAGGTGGGGAGGGGAGAAGATAGGACAGGAAAGGGAGGAGAAGGGGAAGTTGAGTAAGGGGGGGATGTCAAGCTACAACTACGGTCAAGATGTGTCGCTCGGCCGTTAAGAGAGAGGGGATGGAAGGGGTAAGAGATATGAAATTATTTTGTGGTAAGATACGAACGAGGAAGAAAGTCCTAATACTCATGGTGGGAAAGGAGAAGGGAGTAGAAGGACGGAGTATGAGTGTGATTCTGTGTGTGAGAAGGAAAGGAATGAAAAGAGAAGAGAAGGGAAGAGAGGAGACGAGACGAGACGAGAATATAAGAGAAGAAAAGATAAAAGAAGAGAAGGGAAGAGAAGAGAGAAGAGGAAATAAAATAAAAGAAGAGAAAGTGAGTCAGAGAGACAGAGAGAGACAGAGAGAGACAGAGACAGAGAAGAGATTGAGAGAGACAGAGAGAGAGAGAGAGAGAGAGAGAGAGAGAGAGAGAGAGAGAGAGAGAGAGAGAGAGAGAGAGAGAGAGAGAGAGAGAGAGAGAGAGAGAGAGAGAGAGAGAGAGAGAAGGCAAACGCAGAAGACATAAACATTATCGCGAAAATAAAAGAAACTCACACCCACGGATAACCGCCCATAAACCCATTCAGAAAAACTCCCATATAAGTTAAGATGAAGCCAGATGGAGGGAAGAGACAGAAAGTTATGGGAAGGTAAAATGGATAAAGGAGGAGGAGGGAGAAGAGGGTAAAGGAGGAGGGGTGCAGTGTGGGAAAGGATAAAGGAGCAGAGAAGAGTGGGAAAGGAGGGAAGGCGAGGAGAGGGGGAAGAGGGCAGAAGCAAAGAAGAGTGGGAAAGGGAGAAAGGGAGAAGGGAATAATTGGGGAGGTGGAGAAAGAGAGAAAGGTAGGAAAGGAGGAGAAGGGAAGAAGAGTGTGAACGGGCTAGGAGGGGAGAAGGATAGGAGAGAAAATGGTGTTGAGGATGTGAACGGAGGAGACGAGAAGAAGAATGTGAAAGGAAGATAGGAAAGGAGATGGCAGGGAGGATGTGAAAAGAGGAGGAGGAGAGGAGAGGGGAGGAGAGTGAGAATAGAGAAGAATAGCTGGAATGTGAAAGGAGGATAGGAAAGATGGTAGGAGGATGTGAAGAGAGAAGGAGAGGAGAGTGTGAATAGGAGAAGAAGGGAAATAGTTGGGAAGAAGGAGACGAGAAGAAGAGTGTGAAAGGAGGATAGGAAAGATGGTAGGGAGGATGTAAGAGAGAAGAGGAGAGGAGAGTGTGAATAGGGGAGGAATGAAATAGTTGGAAGAAGGAGAAGGGAAAAATAGTGTGAAGGATGTGATGTGATAAGGGGAGATGGGAAGAGTGTGATAAAGGGAGGTGGGGAGAATCGTAGGGAGAGAAGGCGGGGAGGAAGAGGGGAGGCAAGAAAGTGAAGGGGAGGGGAGAGGAGTCGCATTACACGGGCACCTCATGGGGAGGGGAGGGGAGTGAAATCCCCAGTGGCACCGCGTGTCTTTACTTACTGGCGCGGGGGATTTGGAGAAGGGGTTGGGCGAGGGGGAGGGGGAGGGGGAGTGTTGAAGAGGGGGGGAGGGGAGAAGGGAGGAGGAGGGGAGGATGGGAAGGAGGAGGGGGTGGGGGTAGAAGGTGGGTAGTGGGGGCGAGGGGAGAGAGGGGAGGGAGGGGGAAGGTAGACGATAATGAGGGGGGCGAGGGGGGGAGGGGAGGGAGGAGGGGGGTAGAAGATGATGGGAGGGCGAAGGAGATGAGGGTGGAGATGGAAGAGAGAGACAGGTTTGGGTAATGAAAATGGAGTTGTGGGTATTGGTGGAAGGGAGGGAGAAGGAGAAAAAAATGGAAATGGAGAGGGGAGGATAACGCATATATTTATTTATTTTTGTTTATCTTGAATACCGTTTTGAATTCTGCACGAAATGAAAGAATGAACGTAGTGATAAAAAACAACAACACTGATACCAATAAAGATGGAAAGGATAGCGACACCGAAACTAAACGGTAATAATGAAAACAACAGTAACACTTAATGGCAGCGATAATAACATACA